TCATGTAATACAGGAATCATTTGGGTGATTTCAGCTCTGGAATTGCCAATCTCTACCGAACAAACTTAGCTGTTAACTAACACTATGTGACATCACAAGGTGGAACAGAGCATTTTGAGCTTTGGAAATGTAGGCGACGCAATAATTCAGAATCATTCAAACTAGGGCTGAACGACTGAAAGTTTTGGACCGAAAATCGCAATCTCATACAGGGAGCGTCAAAGCCATGTTTTTCTGCAGTTCTCCTAAAACTCTATTTAACGTCGAAGTTTAGGTCTGGATCGACTCACTGCCGCCGTCGCCTTGTCGCTGTCGTTTTTGATTTGTGGATCTGCATCGAGGATCTTTGCGCCGCGAAATAATTCACCGCCACAACGCGAGGAGGCGAGGATTTAAACCTGGTGTTTGTGTAAAGTTCAACATGAATCATCTCCAACGTGATAGAAGCACAGAACAGATTCACCATCAGCAGCACATCCTCTGTCACAGAAAAAACACTCATATTCCACTGAGTCGTGTCTAGGGGTGTTCAAAAATATTGAAATATCGATATATTGTATCGTTTGATGTGATGATACAGTATCGATATTGTGGGCTCCTGTATCGATATATTGCCCAGAGTATTTTTTGGTATATTTTACTGAATTATTTTGTTACAAAGCTACAGTTTTGTCGTTTGTTTAGAGGAAGGAAACTCGTTTAAGCGACACATTTGACATTTTCACTGTTTTGATGATTAAAATGGGTGTGTTTCATTTGAACTTTGCACAAGAAGTGGTTTAACAAATGCTTTTAGTGTCACAGGCACAATTTAGACTTTATTTTTTATTGAACCGTATCGAATCGATTTGAAATGTGTTGTATCGAATCGAAAGCTCACTGTATCGAGATATGTATCGTATCGTGGCCTGTGCATCGAGGTATGTATCGTATCGGTAACGTCTTAATGATACCCAGCCCTAGTCGTGTCCTTTAGTCCGACAGAAGCTGAACCGCATCAGCAGCACAAGGAGTGAGCTTTTCTTTTCAGTGCTTATAGTTTATGCAAATTAGTCATGTGGTTTTAAGTTTTGTTTCTGTAAAATGTAAACAAATGTGAGCAAAAGGTCCAGCGTCAAATCATCAGTGCAAGACTCTGGTATGATAAGGTACATTTCTGTGATGTTTGCAGATGTTCATGTGCACTGAAACTTGATCTGAAAAAAATCGTGGATGAAATCAAAATTACAATATCTGCCAGAAAAAAATCGCAATTCAGTTTTTTCTTAAAATCGTTCAGGCCTAATTCAAACGTGTGAATGAAACAAAACACAACTCCAGGTATGTTTATGAGGAGGTAATGAGCATTCTCAAGCTCACAAGAGTCAGTTTTGCGTCATATGGGACTTTTAAACAGTTTGCAGTGGTCCAAAGTTATTCCTCACTTACTTTAAGTATTCAGAGCAACCTAATTATTTACCACGATGAGCTTATAAGTGTTTTTCACAACTCTCAGAAACAACAATGTAGTCACGGTAAAGCGAACATCGGACAATAAAATGCTTCCTAATTAGATGCAAACAACACGGAGCAGATTTATTTTGACCTCAAGAGGTGCTTATACAATATAACTGAACTGAAGTGAGACAAAAACAAAACTGGGTGCACTTTTAACACTTGTGAATTGCCATAAGATTGATCATGGGGTTGAATAAATCTACTTTGACATCTCTCGTATATTTTCCTTTCAAGGCTAATACAGTTCAATAACTCCTACAACCCATTACAGTGTCTATGTATAGTGTGTGGAAAAGCTGTGACGTGATTGGCTGCTCCTCCGAGGCGGCGTTCTCTGTGTGTGTTATGTAATCGCCCTGAAGTCGTGATGTCACCACTGAGCGCGTGCAGAACGCCATGGGGCTCTACTCTCCTTATCTCACTGGGGGAGCCACTGGAGCACACATGCACACACACATACACACACACACACACTTGATAGTAATGTATGTTACATTGCATCATCTAACACATGCGGTTTAGATGTTTGTTTCTTGTTTCATGTATCTCTGTCTCTCTTAATACAAAAGCAGCTGAATGTCATCGTAACCTTTTCCTTAAAGGTTGTAATTTCTTGCTCAGGGTGCTGTGTGTGTGTGCATGTGTGTGCGTGTGAGTGTGCGCGTGTGTGTGTATGTGTGCGTGAGTGTTGGTCAGGCACGTTGTTAAGATGAAAAGAAGTACAAAGAACAGATGATGAAACAAATCCGGGCTCTGCTGTGCTATTGTGGTCCCAGCCTTTGAAAGCTGCAGGAGTCAGACCACCGTTCATGGAGAAGGTTAAGGTGAGGTAAAGTTGTCCTCTGCATTTGACCCAGCCTTCAGTGCGACTGGGGCAGCAGTGGTCAGGACTACCTTATCTGGAGAATTTTACCTGTGGTGAAACTGAAAATGACTCGAGACCACCGCGGCCCCTCCTCTGAGGATGAGCTCCTCTCATTACATTTAATTATTTGGATTCCTTACAGCCTCTGCGCTGGAGCTGTACCGTGTGCAGTCTGAGGCAGAGGTCACTGTTAGCAGGGTCCCCTCTCCATTAACCTGATTTGTAACTTGACCAGTAAAGTCACCTGCTCCTTGGTCTCCATGGACTTGTCTCCTTAACCTTAAGACTGTGGAACATTTCAGGCAAAGCAAGAATATCTCCACAGAGACAAGCATATAGTGAGACTGTTCTCCAGAAAATGTACATAGTGCGTCTTTAAATGGCCCATTTTATGCTTTAAAAAAAAAAAAAAAAATGTAATGTTGAGACACAAACCCTGCATATTTAGGCTGCTTTTAAAAAACAGTTTTTAATCTCCGTAGAACTTCACTAGAATAAGAGCATTTTGAGTTTTTAAGATGTAGACAGGCTAATAATAAAAGACATTGGAGGGCCCAAGTATTTGTTTTGCAAATCTCAAGTAAGTCTCAACTTAGTCTTTGACCTCAAGTCCGAGTCAAGTCCCAAGTCAAGTACAGGCAAGTCCAAGTCGAGTCTCAAGTCACTGGCCAATAAGTCCAAGTCAAGTCCAAGTCGTCTGCTTTGAGCTTCAAGTCATTTCAAGTCTTTAAACCAAAGCACAGCTTAGATTTTAGCAATTTATATGATTTTTAAGATAAATTATACTTAAAAAGTCTTGGTTTATTTATTATATGAATATTTATAGAGTATGTAAAAGTTATAGAAATTAATTTAATTAAATTTTTCCTTTTTAAATGTCTTGACAAGTTCTTAGAGTGAATCATTATTAGAGCCCGACCGATATGGATTTTGTTGTGACCGATATGAAACCGATATAATGGGAGTTGGGGGCTGCCGATAGCCGATATAATCGCCGATATATTTAGTGATGTAAAAATTCACTGTAAATCTTGAATTGATTAAAAAACTTAGGTTTGGCTCTAGTGAATTCTAAATTGGATTTATTTAGGCAACATTTATTGTTATTTTGACTCTTTACATCATATTTACAGACAGTAGATTTGCCTAATGACATTTTTGCATCACATTCTAGCTACTGTTACTGTCACTGCTAGTGATGGGTATTCCAGTTTTTTTTTGTTTGTTTTTTTTTTTTTGGAGAACCGGCTCGGCTCACTAAAGCAACTGGCTCTTTTGGCTCCCAAGCGACTCTTGAGATTGTTTTGTTGCAAGCAGGACTAAACCAGAACTGAACCAGGACTGAGTGTCGGGACTCGGTTTCTATCTCTCTCCTGCACTCGAGCCCAAGATTAGTCCAGGTTTATTCATTTTATGCTGAACTGCAGCCAAATATGCACTTTTTTTATCCTATGCACACGCAGATTTCTGAAAGTTTCGTTTTCAGCCGCTGCTGCTGTCAAACTACGGGTCTACATGCGGCATGAAAAGAAAAAGTGAGAAAAAGAGAAAACACGGCTCCCAAAAAGAAGCAGGCTCCTGTTGTTCGCTTCAAAGAGTCGGCACTAAGAGCCGCTTCGATCGCGACCGACCCATAACTCCAAGCTAGTAAACTATCGCTATTAGCCTTTAGCCGTAAAAACGTGCGCACCGCGGTAATTAATTATATGCATAAATGTGGATCATTCACACGTCTATTCACAGCTCATTTACATATCAGTGCAGGTCCAGTAACAAATATACGGCCAATGTAGTCACTTTACAATAGACCAATAGAAAACAGCCTGTTTATGTGTGGGAGCTACAGCAGCTAATCGCTAACAAAACCTAAACTAGCTTCAAAGTCGATGTATTTCCAACACTCACTGCTCACACAGGCTCCTCCTCACATCACAAGTCTGCACTAATAAATGTCCTTTTAATCCAGACTCAAACCGATTGTCCGAAAAAAGAATATAATCTCAGTGTTACGCACTGCTGCGGGTGTAAACAAACACACGCGAGTGAAGTGACGTCAGTCTGGTGGTGTGTTCAGGGACAGTACGGACACAGACAAATTACACCGTAGATAAATACTGATGCGGAGCCACATATTAGGACTTTTATCTGTCTGTAAATTGGATTAAATGAACATTATGTAGAGAGTCTAAACTTTATAACGAGGTATAACATGCCCACGTGAAATATCGGCCCATATCAGCAAGCATATCGGCCGATAGCCGATATGTCTCCAGGTGCCCATATTGGCCGATAATATCGGCCAACCCATATATCGGTCGGGCTCTAATCATTATGGTCAGAATATTCAGAATTCAGAGAAGTGCTTCTCAAGTCTTCTCAAGTCACAGGCCTCAAGTCCGAGTCATGTCCCAAGTCTTAGTCCATTTTATCAAGTTCTAAAAATAGTGACCCCACTTCTGATAAAAGATTACTCAACATGTGTGAATGAAACAAAACACAACTCCAGGTCTGTTTTTGAGGCAATAACAACATTATAAGAGTCAATTTTGAGTAATATAAGACCTTTAAACCTCAACTCAAACCTCAACTCTCGCCCTTGTATATTTTAGTATTTTTGTATTGTACGTTTCTGTGACAGACAGCTGTAGCAGAGGTGTGCTCCCTGCGGGGCCCTGTCCACAGACCTGCTCTTCCTCCTGAGTGTGAACAGCAGATAATAATGAAGCTGAGCCTGTCTCCTGCCCTGTACAACACAACAATGATTTATAGCCCTGGCCTACATACAAACTGCTGTATCACTGCTTTTGCTCCACTGTTGTTTCCGGTGAATCTTGTCCCCATGTGGCCCACAGCTACATACAGGAAGAGTTATGGAGAAAACCAACTCAGCAAACTATACTGTCCATGTTGCTAATTGTAAAGAAAGTAACGAGTTGTAATATACTGCAGTCATTTATTTAATTGGCAATGTTTTTTATTAGCGTTGTCATGATAATAAAATTTCAAACTCAATTTCAATACTAAGGAACAGACTTGATACTCAATACTAATTCCAATACCACAGTGAAATTAACACTCTTTCTTTAGACATTAGACTGTGAGTTTCAACATTAAATTGTAGTACCAACTAGGGATGGGCATTCGATTAAATTTTCTTAATCGATTGTCCGGAGAATTAACGATCGATTATCGATTAATCGTTAACGTTTTTATATTAAAATTATCGTCATTATTATTACTATCTGCACTACTAATCTGCATAAATAAATTCAACTTAATGACATATAAACTGTAACCACTCTAGAGCCACATCAGCCCGTTTGAGATTTTAATGTGTTTAACGCAGCTTTGTGCATGTCTCACAGAAAGAAAACTTAAAACCACATGATTAATTTGCATAAACAAAGCGAAGGAAAAAAAGCAGCTCTTGTGCGCTGATGCAACACGACTCAGTGGAATACAGGTTAGTGTGACCATATTTGCGTTTGTCAAAACCAGGACACCGTACGGGGGGTGGGAGGTGGGGCGTCGTCATCGTCAGTGCGCGACTCTCACCTGGCAAAACTTTTTCCCCACTGGACACTGAAACATATGTGCTGCTTTGTTCACTGTGCACATGGCCTCACACTTGTCTCCACCGCAATGGAAACCGTGGAATTTCTTGTACAAGTCATTGTTAAATACACATTTGTGCTTTGGCACGTTACAGACTGACCGAGTGTTTGTGTCTCGCTCCTTCTGAGTGCAGAGAGCCACATGTACAGACCCCTGTTTGGTCACGCTACGCACAGCAACCTACATTCGGTTTGTCGAATTAAAATGAACGTAATCGATGAAATTATCAATTATCGATTAATTGACTAATCATGCCCATCCCTATTACCAACCCTTTTTAATCTGTACATGCTGCCACTAGGACAGGTCATCAGGAGACACGGTGGTAACTTTCATAGCTACACTGATGATACCAAACTTTATATCGCCGTGTCTCCTGGTGACCTAAGCCCGATTGATTCCCTTTTTAACTGCATTTTAGATATTAAGTCCTGGATGGCAGCAGACTTCCTCCAGCTCAACCAGGGAAAAACCAAAGTTTTAATTATTGGTCCTGAAGCTCAGAGAGAGAGGCTCACTGAACCCTGTGAGACAGTCAAAAGTTTAGGAGTTACTCTAGATAGTGAGATTAGCTTTGAGCCACACATCAGGTCTATCACTAAATCTGTTTTTTTTATCATTTAAAAAATATTGCCAGAGTCAGATCATTTCTCTCTCAGGCCAGTGCAGAGACTTTAATACATGCTTTTATTACAAACCATGTTGATTACTGTAATGCTCTCCTTTCTGCTTTTCCAAAGAAATCCAAAACTCTGCAGCAGGAAGAGAGCACATCACCCCGGTACTGAAGTCTCTGCACTGGCTTCCTGTGAGCTTCAGGATAGATTTTAAAGTTCTTTTATTGGTTTATAAAGCTCTTAATGATCTTAGTCCTATTTATTTATCAGATCTGCTTTTATCATATGAGCCTCTCGGACTCTCAGGTCCTCAGGTAGTCGTCTTTTAACTGTGCCAAAAGTCCAAACTAAAACTCACGGTGAGTCGTCATTCAGCTTTTATGGCCCCAGTTTGTGGAACAGTCGACCTGAGGATCTGAGGTCATTTCAAATGTATGAAAAGTACTATACAAATACAGTTTGACTGATTGATTGATACTGCAATTTCCGGACCATTGAGTGCACCTGAATATAAGCCACATCAACTCAATTTTAACTAAATTTTAAACTTGTACATATAGGCCGCACATGAATATAAGCCGAAGATGTTTAATTCTTGAAGAACATTTTCAAGTTCGGGTTGTCTGCTTTTATCGCCGCTGAAAGTTTGTGTCGTCTTTTTGCGTTGAGTCAGTTCGTCACGCTGCCTTCACCAAAATCTCACCATCGACTCACTGATGCCGAGCTCACGTGCAGCAGCTCTGTTTCTTTCTTCGACCGCCACATCAATCGCTGTTAACTTACCGTAAAATCCGGACTATTGCGTGCACCTGAATAAAAGCTGCATCAACAAAATTTTAACAAAATTTTAAACTTGTACATATATAGGCTGCACCTGAATATAAGCCGCAGGTGTTCGTGTCTTCAAGAACGTTTTCAGGTTCGGGCCGTCTGCTTTTATCGCCTCTGAAAGTTTTTGTCGTCTTTTTGCACTGAGTCAGTTCGTCACGCTGCCGTCACCATTGTCTCACCATCGACTCACTGACGCGGAGCTCACGTGCAGCAGCTCTGTTTCCTTCTTCCACAGCCACATCAATCGCCTTTAACTTAAAAGCTGCATCATCTGTATTTCTTCGTGTGTTTTCCATGAGGAGGGTGTGTGTATGAAGTGCAAAATAACTCAACATCAAACTAGAATCATCCTTGGCGCATCACCCCCGTCTTTCCCCAGGCTCTACTGCACATGTCTCCTGCAGAAAGAGCCACTGTCCTGTCAGTGTCTTGGAGGATTTCAGCAGATTTCAGACTCTCTCGGGGGCAGGGTTAGTTCTATCAATCAGTTTTGAATGGATGCCCGGCTACTGAAGTTTGAGACGTTTCTTCTCGTCATTTACACACACGGGTAAGACGTAACCCTTAACCCTAGATCCATGCACAGACAGCGGCGTTTTTCGCACTCAGGCTGCGTGTATCCTCCGTGTTGCCAAACCATAGACCGTATATATGAATGGACAATGTGCCAAACAAATAATCCGTCCATATATTCGCCGCATCGTTTTATTAGTCAAAGTGTTAGAAAAAAGTAGCTTCTTATAATCTGGAATTTATGGTACTTTCGTGCTACTGTGACTTCAGATCGAGAGAAGAACTCTACACATCTCCAGGTCTGTTTGTGATGAGGAAACATTTGAACATCGATCAAAAAATAGCGTAATATTGGCCCTTTAATGTTACTCTGCTCAAAGAAGTAAATTTTGCTAAATGTCGCTCTCACACTTTCGCTTGTCAACCCTGAAAATGTACGTTAATGGAAACTCATTACGTTATTACCTCGTCCTGAACTGTAAATATAATTCTGACAGGCTCCTTCCCCTTATCAACATCCGTCACCATTTCTAAGCGCTTCCTGTTCCCTAAACAGCCTTTAAACCTCTCTCTGTCTTCATTTTTCTCCTTCTTTCTCTCTGTCCTCCTATCATTAACTCCTTCCTCTCTTCTCTCCTCTCTTTCTCTCTCTGTAGTGATCATTTTTTATCTATTTCTTTCTCTCCTCTCATGCTCTCTCCCTCCTATCACTCTTTCTCTCTGTCTCCGTGCTTCTCTCTTATTCTCTTTCCCTCATTGCTTCTTTTCATTCTCTTCGTCTCTATCTCTCTCCCTCCCTAATTCTCTCCCTACCTCTCATCGCTCCTTCTCATGCTCTTCCTCTCTTTTCTCCTTCTCTCTGTCTCCTCCCCTCTCTCCCTCTCTCTCTCCTCCCTGTCTGGTCGGTGATGTGTTTGTTCTCTTCACGCTGGATGGATTCTCTCTCCTTCTTCCATCTCTCCTCTTTGTCCTCTCTCTCCCCGCTCTCTCCTCTCTCCCCCGCTCTCCCTCCTTCTCCCCTCTCTCCTCCCTGTCTGGTCCATGATCAGTTTGTTCTCTCCACGCTGACTGTATTCTCTCTTCCCCTCTCTCTCTCCTTCTACCCACTCTCCTCCCTTCTCTCTCTCTCCTTCTACCCACTCTCCTCTCTCCCTCTCTCTCCGTCTCCCCTCTCTCCTCCCTGTCTGGTCTGTGATGAGTTTGTTCTCCGTATTCTTTCTGTCTCCCCTCTCTCCTCTCTTCTCTCTCCTCTCTCCTTGTCCCCTGTCCCCTCCCGCCTCTCTCTCCTTCTCCCTTCTCTCCTCTCTCTCTCCCTTCTCCCTTCTCTCCTCTCTCTCTCCGTCTCCCCTCTCCTCTCTCTCTCATTCTCCTCTCTCCTCTCTCTCTCCTTCTCCTCTCTCTCTCCTTCACCCCTCTCCTCTCTGTCTCCTTCTCCTCTCTCTCTCCTTCTCCCCTCTCCTCTCTCTCCTTCTCCCCTGTCCTCTCTCTCTCCTTCTCCTCTCTCTCTCCTTCTCTCTTCCTCTCTCTCTCCTTCTCCCCTCTCATCTCTCTCTCCTTCTCCCTTCTCTCCTCTCTCTCTCCTTCTCCTCTCTCCGTCTCCCCTCTCCTCTCTCTCTCACTCTCCTCTCTCTCCTTCTCCTCTCTCTCCTTCACCCCTCTCCTCTCTCTCTCCTTCTCCTCTCTCCTCTCCCTCCCCTTCTTCCCTGTCTCTTCCTGCCTCTCTCTCTCTCCCTCCTTTTCCCATCTCTCCTCCCTCATCTCTCTTTCTCCTTCTACCCTCTCCTCTTACTCTCTCCTCTCTCTCCTTCCCTCCTCTCTTTCTCTCCTTCTCCCCTCTCTCCTCCCTCTTCCCTCTCTCTTCCCTCTTGTCTCTCTCGTTCTCCCCTCTCTCCTCCCTCTTGCTCCTTCTCCCCTCGCTTTCTCTCTCTCCATCTCCCCTTCCTCCTCTCTCTCTCTCTCTCCTTCTACCCTCTCCTCTTACCCTCTCCTCTCTCTCTTTCCTCCCTCCTCTCTCTTTCTCCTTCTCCCCTCTTTCCCTCCCCTCTCCTCGCTCTCTCTCTCTCCGCTCCTTGTCTGGCAGGTGATGAGTTTGTTCTCTCCGCTCTGGCAGTATTCTCTCTCTCACCCCTCCTCCCCTCTCTCTCCCTCTCTCCTGTCTGGTGGCTGATGAGTGTGTGTTTCTCTCTCTCTCTCTGGCTGTATTCTGTGGATCATGGAGGTGTGTGTGGTGGGACAGGGGGGCTCTCCCTCAGCAGCTGCCCACGTCGTTCAGCTAATTACAGGGAGCTGTGAGCCGTGTGAGCCCCGGTCCCTGGAGGACGCTCTTATCTCTGTGTTATCCCATCAAACACCGAGGCAGACCGCACACGTCCACTGCATCCACGCCAAACTACTCATCGCAATTTGTAGTGACTTATTTGGGAGTGTTTAGAATCTGATGAGTTGTAAAAAATAAAATAAAATCAATGCCCTGCTTTTCCTGGAAGTGCCCACATTATGGCAATAGTCTGTCTTGCGTTTTGGCTTGATATTTGCCTCACTGTGAGTCTCCTTTCCACTAGGAACGTAACGATATCCAAATCTCTCGGTTTGATATTTATTTTGATATTTTGGAGAGGCTGATATAATTGTAGATAGGACACGTTTTTGCTTTTAAAATACCTTGACAAGATTTTGGTGTGAATTATTTCCATCATAATCCCAAGAATTCTAGTAAAAAACATATTTCTTCATGTTGTCCGTGCTGAAATGAATCATGGGATATGTAGTTTCTGATGTTTATAAGCTGTTATTACTATAAAACCATACATTTATGCAAAATAACTTGTAATTTGATATATTGTGACAGCCCACGATATTATTGTGAGACTTTTGATGATACGATATCACAATATTTTGGTTATTGTTACATCCTCTGCTCTACTCTCCACAGTAAGTAACTAAGCAAGTCATACAAAATTTCACCAGATCTCAGAAGTTAAATATGACTAGTGGTGATGGAGTAATGGTTAGTACTTGGATGGGAGACCAAGGGCAATACCAGGTGCTACAGTGGGGCATCAGTAACTCTAATGGGAACTGCCATTGTGTCCTATAGAAAGACACTTCACCCACATTGCCTCACTTCCATCAGTCTGTCCCAGGGCAGCTCTGGCTACAATAGTAGATTACCACCTCCAACTGTGAAGTGAATGAATAAAGCTCTATAAAGTGCTAAAATCTAATGCCATACTGTTTAAACTAGGGATGGGCATGATGATCCAATAATCAATAATTGATCATTAAGAATTTCGTCGATCACATTCATTTGTATTCAACAAATTGAATGTAGGTTGCTGTGCGTAGTGTAGTGTAAGGAGACACTGGAGTCTCATGTTTGGGCTCTGGCTCGTTGGAGACACTGCACCACTCAGTGAGTGTGTTTACAGCACATCAGTGTCCCGGGTATGATCATGTTTTTTTGAGTGTCCCGGTTTCATCATGGTGCTTGTAAACGCAGTATCCCAGTTACTGCAACATAAAGCTGAGTTTCATCACAATAGTAGCCAAAATAAATCAAGTGAGTGAAATGACTGTTAAATAAAGAGCTGCCCTAAACCTGCACATGTCTGATCCCTGAAAACGTGACACACACACAGAACACTTCTCACCATCAGTATCATCAACATCCCTCTGTCACAGAAAGAACACTCATATTCCACTGAGTCATGTCCTTTAGTCCGACAGAAGCTGAACCGCATCAGCGCACAAGTTTCGTTTTAGTAAAATGTAAACAAATGTGTCAAAACTACATTAAACACATGATAATGTCAAACTGGTTGATGTCTCTCTAGAGTGGTGATGGTTTATACGTAGTAAAGTTGAATTTATTTATGCAATTTAGTAATAGTATTAATAATGATGATCATTTTAATATAAAACATTAATGATTAATCAAAAATCAATTGTTAATTCTCTCAACAATCGATTAGAAATTTTAATCGAATGCCCATCCCTAGTTTAAACTCTTTAGTCT